ACATCTGAACGTCCAAAAGTGGCGCGTACATGGAATGTTTTGTACATTTTGACTTCGAAATGTGCTTCGCGCCACAACGGCGTGCACTTTTTCGAACATCTCAGCTTCCAAAAGTGGCGCGCACATGTAATGTTTTGTACATTTTGACTTCGACATGTGCTTCGCGCCACAACGGCGTGCACTTTTTCGACATCTTAACTTCCAAAAGTGGCGCGAAGATGTGGTGTTTTTTAACATTTTGACTTCGAAATGTGCTTCGCGCCACAACGGCGTGCAATTTTTCATCGCTCCTGTGGCCAGCTGGCTCCGCACCCGCCGCTTTAGCGAGCCTACTTTCGACCCTCCGGAGCCACAAATCATTGGAAAAACACAGTGTTTCGCGACTTTCCTACCTTTTCGCGCATCTGCATCTTCTTTCTTCTGATCTTGTCTCTTCTGACTCTTCTCACCTCTGCTTTTCAACTGTCCATATTGTCGGACGTTTCACTTCTAAACTTCCTTCGATCATTAATATTCATTAATTATCCATGAGAGCATGCACTGATATCAAAGTGATACATGATCACTAATTGGCATCGCCAGGAAACCTTGGAATGGATAGACCTGCATGTTGGCCACCAGAAATCCAGGCAACACTTCCTGTGCACCGCGGAGTAGGGCCATATTGATGATTCGAAAAGAGAAAGCATCGAAAACACTCTGCAAAACGCGAAGCAATCCTCGAGCAAGCCAACCTCAATTAGCGCACCCACCTGAGTCTGCACAGAAAGTGAATGCAAACTGCAGATTACAAAAGTATACTCCCAAAGCACCTATTGCATCTGGATTGAAAGCTATGAAAACACTAAAACCTGTTGCGGCTTGATCTCAAGTTGGTTTAAATCTCAAGTCTGAGGTCTCCACAGAGTTTCCAAGAGCGTCAACGGCTGCCTTCGGCCAAGCTTCGCCGACGCACAGCAGCCCTGCCAGGACCCGCGCAAATGAAACTGAACCATCCACCATCGATGACCATTCCTCAAACCTGAAAACATCGGCGCAGCAGGAAAGAACATGCTGTCAACGTCTGCTGATGCTGCACAGAATTGCATTGTGGGTAAAACCAGCACCAAGGAGTATACATATGTTGCTATGTTTTTATATACATATATTGTTATATCATGTTATATCATGTTATATCAATGTGATATATTGAAATATCATATATATCATAAAGTTCAACTAAGTTGCCTCAAGCGATGTAGTTCGTTTCCAGTGGCTCCTTCTGGGAGAACACTTCCCAGCCCAAAGGCATTGAGCATTCGCAAGGCCTTTGCCATCTTTTCGGAGGCTGCAAAGTCAACACGACCAGATGCCAACAGGACAGCACGCTGTCGGAGTACATGGCTATCAGCACCCTGACCACCATGAGACACCTGGAAACTTCCAAGACTCTTGTCTCGGAGTCTTGGTTGCATTGAAATTTGACCCATTTTTTAGCCCACTTTAAGCCCCTTGTTCTCTCGTGTTTCTCTTGCTACGTCGATCAACTTCCAGGTCTCTGACAAGCTCTTGATTCAAGGCTTCACGCCAGGTCTCAGAAGCTTCCAGACAGCGGCCAGCACTCCGCAAGCTGAAGCCCAAATTCCTGTGCTCCCACGGCTTCAAACGATTATCCTGACCAAAGTATACAGCAATTTACCTGATATGCAGTGTACATGAGAAATAGACATTTTATGTGGTAGACCTCAGTGAAGTCTTTTATGTGTCACATTGTGCACCTTATGTCCAAATCCTCGTATTCTCTGTTTTGATTAAAGGACATGTATTTGTTTCATGATGATACTATGTGATACGTATCAGAGACTGGACCTGACTTGGCGAATCTGAGGCAGTAAAGACTTCCAATCCTGTCTATACCTTTAGCACCTCTGCCTCGGATGAACGACGAGCGGCAGCAGCACGTCTTGAGGCACACGTCCTGCAAAAAGCAGCGCAGCCAATCTGTAGATCAAAAGGAGGCAATGCAGTGTTGACAACCAGCATGAAGGCGCATCCATTTCCAAGTCTTAAACTTGCGAATAAAAAGAAAAACATAGAAAAACAAGTCTTGCTCTTTCAAAAGATTTGGCTTTCAGCCCAGAAGCGCTCCTCGTTCCCCACTTATCGAAGCACTCTGCCTGTATGCCTCAATCGCCTCATCATATCTGCCCTCATCGTCCAACTGGTTGCCACGGTTGAACAATGCATCTGGGTCAGTCTGAATGGCTTCCATCAGCAGCGTGCAGCACAAGTGAAGACAGTGAAGAAACAATTGTGATGGACATCCTTCGTTCTGTGTTGGTCCTTTCTATCGTGTTGTGCTTGGGTACAAGAAAAGAAAGGAACAGAAAGGTCCCTGCAGAGGATGCTTGGGGGTCCCTTCCAACTTCTTCTCTCTGCACAGTAAATCAGGTTTGGCTGTTGAGAAGTGCTGTTACGCACAAATTCTGAGCCAGAAGATTGGATGAGTGCTTTGGCAACATGTTCACGTGGAAGCTATGGCAGTTTCTGCAGTCAATCAAACTGTTGCCAGAAGAACTCTTCTAGTACCTTGATTCCACAGATCCTTTGATATATTTGACAGACATTTCCAGCACTTTCTCATCCTTGCATCGGTTGCCTCCAGTTTGCTTTCCTTCTCCTTCGTCGGCAGGTCTTTGGTGCTTGGATCGAGCGGAATCTCAGCCTCCGCGACAGCCAGCAGAAAGGGGCTGATCGTGAAGGCTTTCTGAATTCTGAATGAAGGTGTCTTTTGCTGCTGCACGAAGAAGTATATAGTCTTTTTAGTGTTATTTGCAACCTCATGGGCTTTGAGCTATTCTAAGTCCCGCAAACATCCATGAAAACTCAAGTACACAAGGGTATCACGAGGGTATCACAGGGTGCTCTCGTTCAAGCATAGACGGCTCCTGGATCAAAGCCCAGTAAAGATGAAGCAAGTTGAGCACCAGCCAGTTCAAGCTCACCGGTACAGGTTTGTTCACCTGAAGTGTGGCAGGCAGCTTCCAAGAGTTGGAAAGCACAATAATCACGGCTGGTTGTGACCCGAGTCTACGTGTTTGTTCATATGTTTTCACCTTTTTTTCCTTGTCATGTTTGTCTGGCACTGTGAGAATGCAACTAGTGCTTCAGTACCGAGCGAAGGGACGTGCTAAGGTCTGGGCTTTGCGAGACACCATTTCCCACGAGCTCTCCACCGAGTATTCCATAATTTCCTTTTAATTCAGTGGCAAGGAATGGCATGCAATTGAAATTGCATGCACGAGAAATATGCTTACTGAAACAAGCTGAAAAATTAGCGGACTCGGCTTGGCAATTTACCCAGCCAAGAATCTGCAAGGATTCACACTGCTACACTTCAATGATGTAACAATATTGATTGTAAGGACATGCGCCGGACAAAGATTCAAGCTTGTTTGAAGAATGTTTGAAGAATGCAAAGCGAATGCAAAGCTCTCTGGGATTGGCAATGACTTGTCTCTGCAGTCAGTGACTTGCCTGCAGCAGGGGGCTCTGATCTTTGAGCCGATCGGGCAAACGCTCGCACCTCAGGTCTCAAGCTGTTTCAAGCTGTTGTATACCCAAGGAAACCCAAGGAGTGAGGAGTAAGGCCACAGGGCAGCACGGCATCAATCTGGGTTGAGGGCCAAGAGAGCATCAGCACCTGCCAACCAATGTCTTGCTGCTCGAGGAACACCATGCCGCACCGAGAGACCTGAGAGCCACAAGCCATTCCAGAGAACTTCATATAGCTAGTTACTAGTTCATGTTCGCTGTCGGATGCCATCTTGTCCTTAGACTGTGAAACTAAATAAACCTGTAGTAGCTTGTTTGCCTTTTCTCTAAACTGCGATTTATTTTGGAGAGGTGTCAAGCCCAATACCCTTATCTATCATGGGCATAGCCACGGGTCTCAGTCTTGCAACCGCCTTGCCAGGTACCCGTGCTGTTGCTGGTGATGCCACAGCCAAGTCTTCTACCTGCAGTCGGAGCAGGGCCATGTCACGTTGGACGAAGAGGTGTGAAAAATGCCCTCAACTTGGCAACGCATCACAACAGCGGATTGCGCCTCGAACATCATGGTCGTCACCGGCGTCAGCCTCGCCCAGGAGTCTCCATGTTTGCATGAGATACGATAGCTGATAGTAGCAGGTTTAGTACCAATAGCCTTGATGATTTGACAGCTCAGCTGAGGGAGTAGCTTGATGATCTCGCCACTGTTTAAACAAAGCTTTTTGTTGTCATCCAGCACGGTGTTCAGATTCTCCACCCAAACCTGAGTAGATTCTTTGTCGGTGACCGAAGACAACCATGCAAGGTGGACCAATGGATTAATGAATTGTCATGTTCTTGGTGAATACCCACTTTCATGTTGTCAATGTTCTGGCAATACCCTCTGACTATGACCAACCTGTTGCTGTTGCTAAGGCAATGTCTGCATCAACAGGCCCATCCAGCAGGATCCACTGGCGCTTGGTCTGCTCAGCCGACGATGCATACCGGACGGTGAGGGCAAGGATTCCATCCTGGGGAAGGTGGGCCAAGCTGGGCCCAGGAGACCAAGAGCTTCTGACAGCCATAGCTATGCAGCTAGACATCGCCCAAAGGGATGTGCTCCAGCTTTGACCGCTACATGAGTATCCCACCGTCCATTCTTGAGTTCCCTCATCGTTTTCGCCATAAAGTTGCCCCTGTTTGATGGATCTTAGCATGGCGCAGGGGCTGCCAAGGATCCGAATGGCCAGAGAACTGGTCAATTCATGGTAGCTGTTCAAAGTGACTGGACATTTACCAAGTCTGAAACTTGGGGTTGATCTTGTGGATCTGCACCTTGCAAGGGAAACATGGTCAACAGTCCACCATGGAAAAAAGGAGACAACTGGCCAACAAACAAACCCTCAGCAGCTGCATGGCACCGGCAAATAGTTCTCTCCATCTGCCACAGCCCCGAGTGCAGCAGCCAGCACCTCAAGAAATACAACTACTGTGTATACATTTCTCACACGTCCAATTGTATCACTGAGGAACGAACATTTTCCACCTCTGTCTTGCCAGACACAGTTTGGCCAACAAGCATCAATCCATGACGCACCATGATTGTCTCCCAGAGTTGGATACCTGTCATGCGCCGTTCAAAACCACAGTAGTCACAGTATGGCACAAATCTTTGCTCCAACAAACACAACAAACACCGCAGCGAATACTCTGAGATACTCTGAGATACTCTGAGTATCAAAAGCATTCAAAATCCGCCAGTGCTGCACTTCTTGATAAAGCCTTCCTCTGGCTGCAGTATCAGGCTCCGAGCACTGCCCTCCAGTTTACTCAAGCCACTTGTCAGCAAAGATTGACGAAAGACGGAGCTCTTGAGCTGCCCGTTGCAAATCAAGTGTTAACTTCCATATTCTTCAAGTATTTCAAGTGTTAACGTTTCCTTCGATACTCTATAAACGTTTTGAGCTCTATCATACACGCCTCCAGCTCATTGATCAAGACTCCATAGTCTGATGGAGGAAGCTCCACCTGTCAGGAGTGAAAAAAATATGAAAAAATAAAATACTCACGGGTCAAGGGATGTCAAGGGCCTCAAGGGACGTCATGCCATGGTAAGGTCTTTCCAGTGATTGACCCATACGGCCTCGGGGAAGAGATCTCCAGTGATGCCCAGGAACAGAGGAATGTCGTTGCGGGTGAACTTTGGCAGATTGACCTTAGAAAGAACTCTGAGAACTCTGAAAGCAATGGGAGAGAGGGGCCCTCCGTAGTTCTGAGCTTCTCTGTGAAGCTGTGACAGAAGCCATTGATATGATGAATACATCCAGGTGACATCGTTCAACGCAGAGAGCGCCAAAATTTGCTCTTCACGTGTGGCTCCGTAAATCCGGCGAAGTGCCCCCGCCTTTGCTGCAACACCACTCTAACATCGATGCCGGGCTTTCAAAATGACATTGAATCAATGGCTACGGTAGGGCAAGCCCATGTGCCCCTATGTGCCCCTGGTCTAAGAGCATCACCCTCACAAGAATTGATTTCAAGGCCCGCATCCCAAAATCGTAGTGCTCCTGAACTAAAGACGGTGATCAGCAAGAAGTATCAATGACAAACATTCACAGTCATACAAGTCATACATGTAGTCTTACATGTTTTCGCAAAAGCTCCACTTTGCTGACAGAAGGTATATATCCGTTCATGTCCCCATTTGTTGACACTTTTGCAGCTTGTGCAGCAACTTGTTTCCTGCGAAGACAGCTGCTCTGAGCTCAGCCGGAGGCTTCCGACTGCCTTCAGAGCTTGGCAACCCACGACGGTGGTGAAAAAAAATGCAAGCGTCTTTCAAGCACTCTCTGAAATGGGTAATGAACGTGTCTTTGTGTCAACACTGCTGCAAGATTACATCACCAGCCTTTCGAGCAAGGTTCTTTGCATCTTCAAAGCCTGAAAACGACGAAGCTTTATGCGCATTGCAACTTCGAAGTCAAGGCAAACATGGATAACTCTGCATGAAGGTTACAAAATGTTACAAACAACTCTGTTAAGACCCAAGTCATGTGAGGCAAGTGTATCCATGTGTATCCATGTGTATCTCGAAGAGATGGTCGACAAGTCACCATTGGAATACAGGACGATCTCACCAATAAGGGCGTAGTCAGGAACCTTGGATCCAACAGCACACTGGGCACGGACGGAAACTGGCCGCCCTCGTAGCCCTCAACTTGAGGTACTGGCCATCATCGCGCACGGACGGAAAAGTGCCTGCGAATGCATGCGTTGGTCAATACTGGCGAGGCTGGACAAATGAAGGCGAGGCTGGACAAATGAAGCGTCTCATGTGACTTACTACCTGAACTGATCCCAAGAAAATCCGCACAGATCTGAAGTAGATTGATTCGATTGATGATTGAAGATGAGTGAAGATGATTGAAGTAGTATGTTTATCGTCGCGGTGGGACTTGGGACAGCAGGAACGGCAGCCATAGCTGACCTTCAGGTTGTCTGGCAGCTCTGATCGTCCCGCGTAGCCTCCACAGCACAGCTCTAAGAGCAAAGACTGAATGAACTGAATGAGGCAACTGAACAAAGACATTGAGAAAGACATTGAGAAAGACATTGAGTTGAACAGGTATCACTGGAGTCTCAAATGTCTTCGCCTGGATTCATTGTAATGTTCACAGCACAGGATGGAATCAGCCTTAAAATCTGGCACAAGAAAGCAGCCGAAACTTCGCCAGCTCTCGGGACTGATTCAGACCATGTGCAATCATCAAAACGGTTTAGAAGACTTCTGGGGCAAGTGCTTAATTTGCGTGTCCTCAAAGTAGAAGATGTCCTTCTTGTCCCGGATAGCAAATTGGATCGTTTGCACCTTCTCCAGCCAAAACAGTAAGCTGTAGCTATAAAAGCAGCCACTCCAAGCATCCTTCCGAAACACTGGAACCTTTAGAGTGGAATATGCATTCCTATCGCAATCTTCTGATGTCACACGAAGATACCGACACTGAAGAACAGTGTCCATGCCTGCTGCGACACCACAGAAAGCACCTTGACTTTGGCCAGTTTTGTCTTTTGCGACTGCTGCATGTGTCTCTTCAATACCACATGCTTCAATGCGACCCAAATACACATCGTCTAGAGACAAATCAGAATGCAAAACAAAACCTTATCTACTGCACCTCCAAGTTGATGCGATTGAACTCGTCAAAGCAACACCAGGCTCCCGAGGAAGCAATGCCCTTGAAGAACTTGCCCATTGCCTTACAAAATGCAATGCAAACCGATGAGAACCGATTGGGATCTCTCTTAGAATCTGGAAGGATTGTTCAGTCCCAAAACTAAGCTCTATACAACATAGTCCAGACCATCTGAGCAGTTGAAGACCTTGTTTTCAAGGTCCAAAGCAAGCAGGTCCAACGTTCCGGTACGGTTCGTAGGGAAAGTGCATGAGCAAAAGTTTCGTCAACCAATCTTGCCATTGATTTTTGAAGCGCCTGAAAGGGACTGAGCTGAGGTGTCAACAACACACTGCACTGCCACTGCTTTCGCAAGGTCCTGAGAATGTTCAATTTTGGTACATGTTTGGCAAAAAGCATCTGGATGCCATTCAAATGGGGAAGATCGGTGGCATCCAGGAATATCCAGGAAAAATGTGCAATCAAAAAGGAAAAATGTGTGGAAATGTAGAAAAATGTGGAAACATGTGGAAAGATGAAAGGACGCATTTTATCGCATTTTGTGATTCTTGGACACCGCTCCTTTGTGGACTCAGTCTTGCCAGTCCCGGCAGGACCTTCTGGGCCGCCACCATAGTAGAGATGAAAGGCACCCATGAGCCTGTCATTGCTTGCAGTGAGAAGCTAGAGTCAGGTCTCAGTCTCCCTTCGTTGAAAATCCTTCCGTTACCTCAGAAAATATTCTTGTTGAGCAGCTGCAGATGAGGTGCTGTTATACTGCTCGATTAAGTGCCACATGTCCAAACATGTCAAGCCCACGTACGGTAGCACCGATCTGTCAAAGGTGTGATCACAAGTCCTGAGCTCAGTGGTCATTAGATGTCATTTTCTCAGAAAAATGGATAGCCGGAAAATGGAGATTGGCACATGTCAACTGGATCTGCCATTTTGAGGCCAGGAACTATCGCTGTTCCCCAGGTATTCGAAGCCATAGTACAACGTTGCATTGATGATGGAGACCTGCAGTGTGAACATGTCAGGAAAGTTGAAATTTGGCATCTCATAGGCTCGGAAAAACGTCCACTGCACACTCATCGGGCCTCGCATTTGTCCACTGTGCTTGCCTTCCCAGTGTCCTCCGAATTCTTCGCAAACCGAAGTCAGGAGTGTGGACATCTACCCTGGAGATAGCAGAATCCATCAGAATCCTAGGGTGTCCCAATTGTCACCCCCCTGCGTGATGGTCCCCACAGAAACTACCTGCTGCGTGTCGTCCGCACCTTGAGGGTGATGGAACCCTTCTGACGCCAGTAGTATCGCAATTGTGCGATCCAGTCAAATTCCTCCCAAGGCACACCAGTTCAACTGCTCATAAAAGATCATAAAAGTGTGAAGTGTGCTTGAGAGGGAATCTCAACGAATCTCGCAATTTCGCAGTGGAAGACAATGCAAAGAGATGCAAAGAGTACATCTTATCCTCACCGTTTAGAAAATATCTGCGGTGACAGAAGATTGGCATCCAACTCAGCTCTCAACCTTGGAAGATGAAATTTTGGCATCTTTCAGGCTGTGAACCTGGGCGATGGCACTTGGGCATGACAAACCCGCTAGGCTGCTGATGAAAAAGCATTTGTTGAATCATGTGACGAAAATATGTTGAATCTCCACTTCTAAGCCGACAACAACATCGCGATTGTGCACATCAATGGTGGCCAACGCTCCCAGCGTTTGCCTTCGCATCAAAAGCATATACAGGCGCTAGCCCAAACTCAGTGCGAGTCCCTTATTTCTATTGTTTCAACAGTTCACATGATACCCTCTGTGAAGACTCATGTTGCCCCAGATAGTGAACCGACCCTTTTTGAGCATGGGCAGCATGGGCCATTACGGGTCTTCTTGAACCATTTAACATCATTTAACCATTTAAACTTGTGTTTTACATTTTTTACATGACTTTGGTTTGCGCACCTGCCCAGCTTGGAGAGGTCACCACGCACCAAGTTCACCAAGCCGGTCAGTTGGTCTGGCAAGACATTGGAAAGGAGTGTTACGTCAGCACAGTTGCACAGTCAAACACATCAAACAGCATCCAATGCAATGCCAACACCTTTATAAACTTCAGCCTTGAGGCCATCGTACCATCAGGTTTACTTCCGAGCTTAGGGCATGAGTGGTACGAAGTAGAGGCAAGAGCAGAGAGCAAAGGTTCTCACCATCTACAGAGACAGGTATCTCACGAAGAATGGCAGGTTAGTTTGCCTACAGACTTCTGGTGATACTCCTCCAATTTGCCAGACCTTACACTGTCACCAAGTGAATGCAGTGAATGCAGTGAATGCAGCTCAGGTATGCTCAGGTCAAGTTGCCTATCTCGCTGCTCAGGTCAAGGCTCGATTGCAGCAGCAACCTCCTGTGTCCAGTAGATGTTGTCAATGCAAATGACCACCTGCACACTGGAAGCACGTTGCCATTGTTGCTGTATGTCGCTGTCACATTCAGCCGCGCCTGTCCGGGCCATTCCAAGACCCACTTCGTGCCTCAGCATGTGCTTAGTGTCTGCTTTCTCTTAGGAGTTGCGCGACGGCATTTCCCACTTGATTGCGGCCATTGCAGCTGCTTGATTCGTTTGATCTACCATGATATATCAGCGACGGCTGTGTTTTATCTTTCTCGCTTCTTGCATCCTCTTGCTTCAGACCCAAGAACTGCAGAATGGCGTCAGCCGAATCTTCTCCAGAACCAATTGCTCCTTTTGCATCAAAGCAGCACCTACCCGCGTTTCTCGTTGGCAAATATAGTATATCATATATCCAGGAGCTTTATTGGATAGGGACCATCTATTCAAACAAAACAGACAATGTCCTTGCATGTAGCCGGACCAACGAGGATGGAAAGCTTCTCCACCAAAGAAAAGCCTGTCTTTCTCACGACCACTGCTGTTCAGGTATTCCATCTGGTGCAACTCCTTTCTATCTGTCCCATTAGACTCAGACATCTCTGTCTACTCTAGCTGGACCCCAGATGCTCTGGCTCTCCCAATCATCTTTTCATATCTTTTCATATCTTAATCTTGTCTTGCACACCTACTACTGGTTCTCTATACATCAAAGCATGATGGCACACGCATCGTCCATGTCCAGACCTTCCATGTCTCTCGTTCACCACATCCCAGCCGTCAGGCATAGATCCAGTAGGCAAAAATGAATAGGAACCTCTGAATCGAGGATCCGAAGACCATTTGGTCGCCTTCCAAGCAAGACAAAAATAAGTTCTGAAACTACAAACTCTGCAAACGAAAACAAAACTCTGAAAAAGGGAAACAAACATAAACAACTCAAAACAAAAATAAGTTAATAGTAACATATAAGAACTAGAAACAACTCACAACGATTCACAAAGTCTGAAAATGTTGCGGGTTTGATTTTGATCAGACCTCGGCCACCAGGATGTTGGGAGGTCTTTCGTACATTTCCTGGCAACCCCACTCAGAGAGAGAGAGAGAGAATGCAGAACTGACATGAACTGACCAAAGTGCAAACTATGCAAACTGTGCAAAATGTGCAAACTGTGCAAACTGTGCACCCCTAAATGCCCCTAATAAGTGTAGACCACCAAAATTACATCCATTTCTGGCAATGTTGGGGATGGTTTATTTATGGCATTGGGTTTACCACATGAGTTTCTGAAAACCAATTCACTTGCCCAGTTTCTGACAAACATCCTTCTAGCTCCCTTTTAAGCTCCTGAGACACACCAGCTTTCCCAGCGAACCCACAGCGCCAAATGATCCCGCGTGGTTTTTGCAAGGCAAAGTAGCAGCACTACAGGAGCCGTTCATGAAAAGAGTAAAGATAGTGAAGCATTGCAGTTTGTTGTGATTGATTGTGAGATCATAAAGAATCATAGAAAGAGTGCAGAGGGATTTGCAAAAAAGTCTTCCGTGCAAAAAGGTCATTGAAGTCATCCAGTCCTCGGGGTCAAGCTTTTCCACCCGCCTGCCCTCATCCCCAGTGTTTGTGACTATGACCAAATCAGGTGCTAGCGGTTGCCACACCTGCATGGCAGAACCAGCGTGGCAAACAACATGGCCGCTTTGAAACAAATCGCAGCTGAAGCTCCTGGATCACAAGAAAATTATGCATATTGCATCATATTAGGCTGCTTCAAAATTGCTCTTTGCAGTCACAGTGTTACTTTTGTATGATAACTCGATCTCTGAGACTCCTGCCACGTGCCGTCCGCGTGGTTTTCCAACCCTGATAACGTACTGCTCGTCATCGACCTTGTACCACAGATCAAAGAATTTTACGCATGTAACATATATATATATATGTGTCTGCCCCTGCCTTTGAGTCTCACACAACAACTCCTACGACATACCTGTGCAGCTTCCAATACAGTAGTAAACGTCCAGCTCTAATGTTGCAAATGGCAGCACAAGGCTTTGGCTTCCCTTGACCATCTCACAATAGAGACTTGAGATACTTGCTTTCCCAACCACACCACATCCAAAGATAAAATGCACCATTCGAGAGCCAGAACGCTGTCCCATACATTATCGGCATAAGTTGAGACTTAAATTTAGAAGCCTTGATACGAATGTCCATTGGAAACTTCTGACAGAATAAACTTTGTTCGTCAGCTAAACCTTTTACCTTGCAAATTTCACGGACCGCCAATGATGAGCATACCGAGCCACCCATAAGGCAGACTCCAACTTCACAAATGTCTTTGTATAATTGCACATAGTCCTTTGCGTTTTCAGGAGGCAAAGAAGCTCGAAATTCGGAAATATTTCTAAAATAAGATCCCAAAAAAAATAAAGCAAAACACAAGCCACGCACAAAGTAATACATGTCTTCCAAGCTCTGACCTACCCCTCACAAGGATAGCACAATGAAAGCTTAAGAGCTTTAAGAAATGCATTGCAGCAAGGACTCATTGAGTTCAATGCATCTTGCATAGGGAGTGGCAGAGGTGGATCAAAGAGAATGTCCCGAGCATTTAGGACACCAACACTCACCTCAAGCCATCAGAACACTCCTTGACATTTGCGCTCATGATAAAGAACCCACCAATCTCAGAATTGCAGCATCCAAGTAGCCGTGCAAAGTGCCACTCGACTCCAGACCTTGAACCCATCCTTGCATTGGACCTGGCGAAGAACTGACGCACTCAGCCTCAAAAGAGACGTGACAAATTCAGCGTCAGTTGTAAATCAAGCGAGGGCGACCTGTACGCAATCAGGCAACTGGATAAGCTCCTCGACGATACAGTTGTAGTACGATCCAACTCCTGAAAGTCCACAGCACAAAGGTACAGGAGACCGGAATGAATCCGTGGCATTATACTAGTCCAGTCCAGAATCACCGCCCTCTTCTACCGCCCGGAGGTCTGTCAAACGTCATCAAAGCACTTTTTTGCTTTTAGCGATGTGTACTGCAAGCAATTGCCCAGTCTTGATCTCAGTGCACCCTGCTCTCCTGTTTCCAATTGCCTCTTGCAAAGGTCGAACAAAGGAAAACGTATTGCAGCAGTCCGTCCGATGCATAGTAAGTTGTGTAACAAGAGCTTCATCTCAAGTTCTAAAGCTCATGGAAGAAGGATCAGCAAACCAGGAAAGGCTCAACCTCGTACCACGTGTGTGGCAAGCGAACCTCATGCATTTGTACTTCTTATGATAGTTTCCCGGGCATATGTCTGAGTCATGGCTTCGAGGCATTTGCCATGTTGGAGGTTGAAATCTTGTATTGTTGACCTACAACATTCACGAGGTCCAACCAGGACTACGCGATAGCACTTCCGCTTTCAATCGCTCTGAATCCCCGTCTTGCGCTTCTAAGTGTAGAATGAACGAAGACATTTCTGCTGGCATAGGTGCTGCAGTTGATCGAACCGGGGGTTCATGCCTTTCCGGGCCTTGGTCAACTCAGAAGTAAAAGTAAGTTGGCAGTTTAGCTGAGAGGAAAACTCCGGGGACAGAAACAGTCAAAAAAACACCAACAACAAAAGATTGTTAGGAACCCAAGGCTCTCATCGGAAAAGGCTCCCGAAAGGACAGTGCAGCACAATGAAGAAAGAGCCGATCCACCTGTCTCAGCTTCTGGGAGTCTTGCCGATACAGACTATCGCCAACCTGATGTCGGTGAGATTAAAATTGGCATCTGTTGGGATTAGTTGCGCCTTGATTAGAAACAAAGCCAAATGAAGAATTCCTAACTTTAAAATCAGAGGAAACACATAGAAGTGGGCAGCCAGGCAAGCAACGATCGGATGACCAAAGTGGGCGAGGTGACTACGAATTTGGTGTGTCCTTCCCGTCTGAGGCTCAGCTAACAGCAAGGTCATATCTCCTTAACGAAAGCAGTATCAGAAAGGACACCAGAATCCATTTGACAGCTAAAAAAGTGAGAAATAAAAGCAGAATGTCTCAAGCCAGACTTATAGCTAGCGATGTCCTGGATTGCGCTTTAATCACCTACCAAGTCTCCATTCTCTGCCGATCTCAAATGCGCAATTGGTCTTACATAGGTTCTTGAAGGCCTGGCAAGAAACAATGTACAGCACAGAACAAGGACAGAATCAGACAGAACAGCCAGCAGAGTCCT